CTACAACATGGGATTATTCAATGCATGCTGATGAACTTTTATCATAGTTTATAGTTATATGGAAACGAAAGTTGTTAACATTCAACCCGTTCTTTATCATCAGAAGTATTATTTGTGATTTGAATTTTGTGAACGGTAGTTTCTCTTTTGCTGTGTTAAGCCGCGGGCTTCGGATGCTTTCACTTTCGAATTCGCGATCTTGTTGTCACTGTTTTGCTAACATCTACACACCTTTCATTTTTTTAAGACTAAAACAAAAGATGGATTCATTGTTATTCTTAATTAAAAAGCACAACAACAATAAATCAGTAAGATACAATGACAAACTAGCTTACTAAACGTTTATTAACAAAAACGAATAAGATGAGGCATGGCACACACCACATGCTCTATTATATACCGACTAATAAATTACAGAACGTTTAGCAAACACGGAGGAATCAAATAAATAAAAGAGAGCCTCCATAGCGTAATGTGAGGTAAACAGCAAAGATAACAAGTTTTTCAAAAATGAAAACAAAAAGAAAAGTAAAAAACTAACGGTGACAGTGCTTGCATGTTTTTTTTTCCCCGCTAGAATACCAGCATGTTCACCTTCTCTGGTTTAAGAAGCGGCCTTTTACTTGACTTTCGCTTGAAAACCATCCATCGTTTCCTCAATATGCACGTCATTTTTGCTGCGCGCACCTTCATGCTCGTGCTGACACGGCGAGTATACTCTCTAAAAGCGCTATTTTGTTATGCTTTCAGTTTCGTTTGCCGTTTGATGTTTCTCATATGCAACAGAAATTGCAGCGCTTATGAGTTGACCAACGCGGGGGACGCGTCAGTGCGACCGCACACAAAATTTAGTTGCACAGGCAGAAAAAATGGTCGCAGTCTGGAGCCCTGTGTCCGCATATTTACATTCTGTTTGGGGGATTTGGATGTTTTTTCTTTTGCAATCTGAGCTTAAGCTTTCCAAGTGAAATGTCTTGAATTATTCCACAGGAACTGGACCTCAACAATCCAAAGACATTCCGAAACTTATCCAAACCCATGGGAGCTCAGACAGATGATAGACTGATCCAGTACAAGAAAAGATTCAAAGACTGGGAGGATCCTACTGGTGAGTCCGAGACCCCTGTTGATCATCTGTTAGTTGTGCTTGTTAAGCTCCAACTTTTGAAACATGTTTTTTTGTTTCTTCACAGGCGAGACTCCAGCGTATCATTACGGCACTCATTATTCCTCTGCAATGATCGTGGCCTCATATCTGGTCAGAATGGAGCCGTTCACACAGATCTTTCTCAGGCTTCAGGTTAGTCCCACATGGCCTGGTCTGTTCATCATTTGTTGCTTTCTTCTCTTTACTCTGTGTTTTAGTTATTGTTGTTTAAAGTTTTTCTTTAAACTTTGAACCTGGACAAACTTTCATGTGGCTAGATTGGATAGTCTTGAACTGGGCAGTCTTATCATTGTTCTTTTATTCTTCGACACCCATTGTTATGCTGGTGGAAATAGATTTTACTAATGAATGTTACTAAATAAATCCTTCACAGTCGAAACCAAAAACAAACAAAAGTGGAAGAGCAGACTGGAGACCAGCTGTCTCAGCAATAAGCATAGCATCTTTCATACTCGCACAGATATTTACAGTGTTTCCAAGCATTAATAAAGATATTCCTTTGTTTCTGACAGGATGTTGTTATTAACGAACAGTGAAGGCCCGTTCACACCAAAAACGATTGATGTAACTACATTAGTGTCCACAACAATGTTCTGTTTATTATAAGTGCATGCTGCCTGCTGCTTTAAATACTCAAGCTCTTTAAAGTCATGTGTCCTGATGGGCTGTCAATGTTGTTAGTGTTTATCAGCTGAAAAAAATTGTTTAGTTCATCTGTGCCTTTATTAATTAGAACAATTATTAAAACTTTAGAATTATTGTTATCGTCCCTAGTGTGAACAGCTGATCTAGTTTCAAGAGAGATTGAAGTTGGTGGTTACATGTGAGTTTCATCTGTTTTCAGGGTGGACATTTTGATCTAGCCGACCGAATGTTTCACAGTGTACGAGAGGCTTGGCTGTCTGCTTCCAAACACAACATGGCTGATGTGAAGGAACTCATTCCTGAATTTTTCTACCTTCCCGAGTTCCTACTTAATTCTAACAACTTCGATCTTGGTAAGGAAAAGCTTGACAGCTAGCCTCATCTGTACCCTAAATACAGTTTCTCTCTTTCTTTTTTTTTTTTTTTTTACATGAAATATCAACAATTTATTTGTTAGAACTTGTTTGTTCAGGAATAATTTGTGTGAAATTTTAATAGCAGCTCTGGTCATATAGTGGAGAGCATTTTAACAAGCTCTGTATGTGTCATTTGTGTTTTACAGAGCTGAAGGAGCCAGTGGGTCAGATAGTGTGCACTGACAAGGGCATTCTGGCTGTTGAGCAGAACAAGGTGTTGGTTCCTCCTGCCTGGAATAAAACCTTCGCCTGGGGCTATGCGGACCTCAGCTGCCGCCTCTCCAACTATGAGTCTGACAAGGTCATTCGCAACATACAAGTTCTTCTGTTTACTCACGTTTTCAGCATCTGCTGTGAATGGCTATCAGATCCTCAAATGCGTTTGGAAAAAGAGCATCAGCAAAACTTTGCATATTTATAAAATGTGTCTTTCGAAATTTTAGGTTTACTTTTTTATTCACTACAGTTGAAAGGTTTTGGGGTCTGTAATAGTTTGTTTTTTTAAATAATTTAAATAACTGTTTTCTATTTTAATACATTTTAAATACTTTTTAAAATGTAATTTATGCCTGTTATTAGGGCTGGGCGATATGGGCAAAAAATCATATCTCGGTAATTTTTTGTTTGAAATGCGATATACGGTATATATCTCTGTATTTTCTATTTGGATATAGAAAATGTGGAAAATACAGAGATACATACATACATATATAGTGAACGTAGGCTATGCTATGCATTATGTGCAAAAAAGGGGCTAAAATCACATAATCTAGCATTGTAATATTACAATCTAAAAAAACAGAGGTTCAATTCACTAAACTAAAAATGAAAGTACATAAACACAAGAGCACAGATTGATTGCATTAAATATTTTGATTACCCCGTTACTGCTATCTGCTATCATAAAATATACTTACATGTAGTTAAAAATTCTACATATGACTCAATTATTGTGCGCTGTCTGTTTGGCGCGCATGCACGCGGCGGCTCTCGTTCACTGAAGTCTGAAATTTAGCGGAGAATCGCATGCAGAAGGATCCTGACAGCAAAATGGAAATATTTCCATGACTTTCTAACGTTTACAGATGGAGTATATACCTGTGAAATGTAAGTTATGCACTGAGGAAAACAGCATACCAAACACATTAAACAGCGCAAGAAGCGTGCGTCTCTGTCAGCAGCACATGAGTCTGTCAGAGCATCTGACGGGGCGAACCGCTTTAAACTAGACATGTTAACTATATCTTACAAGTTATTTTTTAGCCCTTAATATAAAGTATGTCTCATGTTTAGGACAAACTAGATTATGCACTTTCTCCGCAGCAGCTCACTCTGTGTCCTCTGCTATTATTTTCAGATGCGCTCGTATCAAACTACTGTATATCGATATAGGCGATATTGCCTCATACCGTATCGCTTATAAAAAATATATATCGATATATATCGTACAAACTCGATATACCGCCCAGCCCTACCTGTTATAGCAAAACGTAATTTTTAGAAGCCATTATCCCAGTCTACAGTGTCACGGAGGAAATCATTCATATCCTTCAGTAAACATTCTAATATGCTGATTTGGTGCTCAATAAACATTTCTTATTATTGTCAATGTTGAAAACCGATTTTGTGGAAACCTTGAAATGTTTCTGCAGTTTTTTTCTCTTTTATTTTCTTATTTCCACCTTCTAAAAGGATTTTTGTAGTAGTTCCCACAAGCTGGAGTGTGTGGGGTGTGGGGGGAGGGGGAATGGTTTAGGAGCTAATTAAGACTAAACAAAGTTTAATCTTGTGTTTTTGGTTTATTCTGTGTATTTAGTTTTCCATATCAGTTGTCTGATGTTCATGTGCTGTTTGTCTCATAGGCGGTTGTAGTATATGAGTGCCTGTCTGAGTGGGGGCAGATCCTGTGTGCTATCTGCCCCAATCCCAAACTGGTTATTACTGGTGGATTAAGCACCGCTATCTGTGTGTGGGAGACCGGGACTTCCAAAGAGAAAGCCAAGACCATCACACTCAAACAGGTTTGTTTTATATTTGTTTTAATGTTGCTTGATTTTATTTTTATTTTTTTACTTCATTTGCTTTTTAAACCCGATAAATATATTTAAGTTTTGCTTTAGACTTTTTGCTAAACCTACTTGTTCTTTATAACCGAATTTGATTTAATTGTAATGTTTTATGCATTGATCAACATATGTATTTTCATGGTTCCAGGCTCTTCTGGGCCACACAGATGCAGTTACATGTCTCACAGCGTCATCAGCTTACCACATCATTGTGAGTGGCTCTCGAGACCGTACGTGCATCATTTGGGACCTGAATAAGCTGTCTTTCGTCACCCAGCTGAGGGGCCACCGGGCTCCCGTCTCCGCACTCTGCATCAACGAACTTACTGTGAGCCCACAATACTGTCAGAATTACCTGAGTGTTGTGTTTAAACTACATCAAATTTTCCTTTTAGTCATTTAATAAGCACTATTTGCCTTGTATGGTCTTTGCATTTGTATGTTTTATTGGGGTAATAAAATATTTTTTAAATAAATTAGAATTCTAATGATCATAAAAAATTATATATATATATATATATATATATATATATATACACACTGCAAATGATAATAAATAAAAATAAAAATAATTTATTGTTGGTACTATTATTATTAATTATTATTATCATTATTCACAGAAAACTATGGGGGAAATTATTAGCATTTTTATTGTTCATTAGGGCAATAAAAAATTCTAATAATATATTTTAATACTTATGAAAATATAATAGGTTATTATTATTATTATTGGCTTAAGCAGAATTAAAATGTTTGCCAACTCAAACTTTTTTGGTATGAAGTTAATTTGATCTGGTCATCAAGGTCATCAAGAAACAGTAGCACACTTTACTGTTTAAAAATGTGCTTGCCTTTGAAAAATTCCTGAAAAGGAATTAATTTCTAATTAAAAAGTGAGACCATCACTACTTTGGAAAAAAGAGCTTCCTGATTTAATTTCTTGCTCTTTATGAACCCTCATAATAAATTGATGCTTCCGAATAAAACCGAAGTGTTCTATGAATTGGATAAGACTCTCATAACTCTGAGTGTCTTTGTGTAGGGTGATATAGTGTCCTGTGCTGGCACGTACATCCATGTGTGGAGCATCAATGGAAGCCCCATCGCCAGCGCCAACACTTTCACCGGCCGCAGCCAACAAATCCTCTGCTGCTGCATCTCAGAGATGAATGAGTGGGACACACAGAATGTTATCGTTACGGGACACTCCGACGGTGTTGTCAGGGTAATGGTCTTTTCCTTAATTTGCTTTCTTTCTTTTCACTCTGTGTCTTTTAAAGTGTCAACAGATAACGGTTCTTGACAAATGGCTTTATCTTGTAGTTCTGGAGAATTGAGTTCCTCCAAGTCCCAGAAACCCCTGCTCCAGAGCCTGTAGAGCCCCCCGATGTGCCAGACTGCTGTGGAGAGATTGGTAAAACATCCCTCCGTTGCACCCTTTTCATGTCTTTCGTGCTGTAATATTGAAAAGATGATGTGAAAGTAATAAATAAACTAAATGATAAATAATATTTTGATCAATTTGATATTAAACAATTTTAGTCTGCACTTTGCATTACAGCAATTTCTTCTGAGTTTTAGATGATCTTTTCAGATTAAATAACCTCAAGTCTTGTTCTTCCAGAGGGCCGTGATGCTCCAGAGGATGACAGCAGTGAGTCTGAAGGAGAGGAAGCCAACCTCAGTCAGGACTCTAAACCTCGGACCTCAAACAGCCAGCCCAGCAGTACCGTCCACAGACCCAAACCTCGCACCGGAGCCTCCTGGTCGGTGGACAGTGGCTCTGACGACTCCCGCCGCTGGTCGGACACGCTCAGTATTGACGAGAAGGACGGCTTTGTTTTTGTAAACTACTCAGAGGGCCAGATTAGACCGGGAATTCCCTCGCAGCCACATTTACAACCGCACTCAGCACCCTCACATGGGCCAGTACCACAGCCTCTTCAGCCCAGTACTATGGAGGCTCGGTCGTACAACAAGCTCAAACCAGGTGCAGTAGATTAAAACCTGCCATGACATTTTAGTGTTTTTTTTTTATATTGCTATTTATTTATGTATGCAATTAATTCTAATTTAATCAAATTCTATTTTAGTAGATTTGCTGATTTAGTTTAATTTATCTATTTGAAATAATTTTTGTCGGTTGTGCTTCGGGCAACCTGAGTCCGATTCCTGGCTCAGGGATCTTTCCCAATCCCATTTCCCTCTCTCTCCCACTTCACTTCCTGTCTGATTTTGTTTTGTCACGTCTCAGTAAAAGCAAAACTGCCAAAATAAATCTAATTTCATTACATTAATTGATAAAGATGATAGGAAAGTATTATTAAGGTATTAAATAAGCTAAATAATAAACAACATTTTGATAATTTTCATACATTTACTAATTTAATTGATCATTTAAATGATCAATTAAATTTACTAATTTATCAATTAAATTTTCTTAATTTAATTGATTTCATTCTAATTTAATACATTTACATTACATATTATAACACATGAATTTTATTTTGTCAAAATGTGCTGTAGTTTTAATTCATAGATTTCAGAAGTATGGCTTTTAGGGCTGTCAAAATGGCTGAAAAACTAAATTCGAATTTTGTACTTAAATATTATCAAAATTCGAATTATATTCTAATTTAAAATGTATAATTTCAGTTAGGGTGAAGAAAAGCTTTTGGCTTCTGGGGCCACAAGAGGGCGCATCTAAATGCACGTTTATTCAAAGCATAAGATAACATGACTATCTGTGAAAAAAGTGCATAATGTTTAAAATAATGTTTATAAACCAATTATAATTAAGTTGCTTAACTATAAACAAAACAGCATCATGTATGTATGCATAGTTTAATACAAAGGGCGGAGAGCCAATCACACAGTACATTTTTCATTTAAAAACGAGATGCTGTGGGATGGGGAAAAAACAGCCATAAAGTCTAATATATGTTTTTTTCAAAGTTAAACTTGCATTAATTATACATGGATTTCTAAACATGCGGCTCCTTTGTGCGAGATGCGAGTGCAACGGTGATGGATGTCCCTCTAGAAAATGCGCGAAATATGTGTTCTGCGTGAACAGCTTGGTTTCAGTTTTGATGTAAACAAGATCTTCTCCGCATTGATGTTCTCTTTTTCCGCAATATTTTTAATGAACAAAGTAGCAGTGCCACATCTAGTGGCTTCAACTTGATAGGCTAACAAAAACATTATAATGAAGATTGCAGCGACACTTACATCGTCATCGCATCTCATGCGCCACTAATAAGGCTGCCTCCTTAATGCACACCTAAAATTCGAATGTGGATTTTTATTTTATATTAGATGAATATTCGAAATTCAAATTTTTTTTTTGACAGCCCTAATGGCTTTTACGTTTTGCATTTGCATTGTCATTCAAGTGCTGTTCTCTTGTGTTGGAGGATTCCTGTGAGACTGTTCTTAATGTGAGCAACTGGCATGTTCTTCACCGTTAGCTTTGTCTCTTAAACAGGCTACAGATGGGAGAGACAGCTGGTGTTCCGGAGCAAACTCACCATGCACACAGCGTTTGACCGCAAGGACAACGCTCATCCTGCGGAAATCACCTCACTTGCCATTTCAAAGTAGGTGCTCAGTGTTCGTGGTGGAGTGAGGACAAAAGACAAGCTGGCTTCTATTCTGTTTCTAATGTGCTTTAACATTAATATGCCAGTGTTTGCTCAGAGGATATCAAATAAATAGTCTCTAAACAAGACGGTTGATAACAAGCAGTTGTTGTGTACTCAGAGACCACAGTAAGATCCTGGTAGGCGACAGCCGTGGCCGCGTGTTCAGTTGGTCTGTCAGTGATCAGCCCGGACGCTCGACCGCAGACCACTGGGTGAAGGACGAGCAGGTGGACAGCTGCTCTGGATGCGCTGTGCGTTTCTCCCTCACTGAAAGGCGCCACCACTGCAGAAACTGTGGCCAGGTCTTCTGCCAGAAGTAAGACAGATTTGCAATAATATTTATAATGTATGAACTAAATGCATTTTAAGTTGCTTCTTGTGTTTTAGACATTTTGTGTTGCACAAGTGTTTCACAATTTGTTGCTTGTTCCCTCAGGTGTAGTCGCTTCCAGTCAGAGATCAAGCGGCTGAAAATCTCCTCTCCTGTGCGTGTGTGTCAGAACTGTTACTACAACCTGCAGCATGAGCGGGGCTCTGAGGAAAGCCCGAGAAACTAGATCACCCTCACCCCACATCACATGCCCAAAAGCCACACCACCAACCACCCTCAAAAACCCCATTTCACTGCTCCCCGCGCAAAATCTCATCGGTAAAGCACTGACGTACACCAAAATAGGATCACTAATGCTCATAATTTCATATATCGCAGAAGTGTGACCATTAAAAAGAGATGATTGTTAGTTTACTTTTCCATTCATGCGTTTTCTTTTGCAGTATGGTCTGTCATCTCATTGGCATCATCCACAAAGTCTGCGTTACGTTTAGATTTTAGACAAATCAATGCATATAAAACGCTTCCTGATGAAACGAGATGACATTTGTTTATATTGTAAATACTTACAATGGCATTTTTAACTAGAAACAGTAAAAACAAAAAGTCATTATTAAGAGATAAAAGAAGAAATCAAAACACGACACATTGCTTGTAATATAGTATTACAGTATGTTAAAAATCACTCCTGGCTTTAAAAGAACAAAAATGCGAGTGCGTGTGTAGTCGATGTCACAAGTCACAGCCTCCCAGCGGGAATAATATTGGGGACTATGAATGTTGATAAATGTTTGTGGATTGACGTTACTAGCTTGTCTAGTTATGCAAATGCTTAATTATTATGTTTATTTTATATGTTCTGTTGAAGTGTTGCCCACAGCATCAGCCAGTTGCCATAGATGACTTTTTCCATTTAAATTTGGTTGCCAACCTGCCTTGATATGTAACTACTATCATATATTTTAACAGTCGTGTAGGTCAATGAAAGTATGTAAATGTTGAATTTAGATTAAAGACCACTTTAAATCTTTTTTAAATGACAGGATCCATTCAACCTTTAAATGATTCCACCAAATTTCTATCATGCGCTTCAAAGACAGAAATGTTTCAAGTCAATTGAAAGACTGTATTATGAAACATGTTTCTGAAGTGTCAAGAGTTCCTGCTTAGTTTATATTGGATGTTTTGAATCTGTACATTTTGCATTAGTGTGGGACTTCTCTGACTGTCCTTAATGTGATACTTCATTTGTTATTAGCTCATATGAATTAAACAACTTAAATGTTACTCTGACACTAGCTTTAAAATTTGTTGTTTTTTGTTTTTAGTAAAAGCATACATTTCTTATTCTTAAAACCTCACCATTTTTAACCATTTGCGATGTTGCACCAGTGTAAATGTCAGTAGATTATGAAAGCAATAGTTAGTGATGTTTTCACACATTTCACAAAATACTAGCTTGAACGTTATTGTGTGTAAAGAAAAAGGGATTTAACACTTTTAATGGACTGGAAGCCTAGTTTCTCTTTACCTTAGACAGAACTATGAAAGAAAGTTTGTTTTCATCTTCTTCTTTTTTTTGATACTGTGGGCAATACCCTATTAAAAATGCTGCTTTGATTAATAGAGAGAATTTCTTTCTTTCTCTTTCTTTAAATGGTCTGACACAACTTTAAAAAGATGGAAAATGTGTTACCATTGCAGTTGTTTTATTCACTGTTGTATGATTTCCGTACAGCCTAATATGCACTCGTTATAGTTGAATTATTCTATATTAATGTACTGTAATTCAGTGTGCAATCATAACATCGCAAAGCTGTTGGGATTTTGCTGTCGACAAGCAGCTCAAAGATCAAATGGCTATATCAATCTGAAATTCTTTTTGCACCTTGACATGTAGACAAGACAAAGAAATGGAGTAATCACTGTTTTATCAGATGCATTTTTATGTTGTGCGCTATACTTTTGAAACGGTGCGTTACTTTACAGTGAGATGTGAGACTGTACGAAGTATTTATGCAGTTATAAGGGTTTCTTTTTTATGATGATGATTTTTTTTGGAATTTTTCAGCAAGTTTTGTTACTTGTTGCATGTCTAACACAGCTGACTTTCTGTGTCAGTGTATTGTACATGTTTTGGCATTGTTTTATTTGTTTTCTCTTTCTTTGGCTCATTTTTATGGCATTATCTAACGAGTCGACCCTGAAGGTTTTGTGTACAGTTTTAGGTGGATATATAGAGTGTCCCACAACTCTGGGTTGACTTTTATACTCTTATGTATGGATGTTGAGGACTGATCCCAGAACAGATGAGATACACTCGGATTGTCCCTGTTTGGTGGTCTTGTGATAGACTGCATTACTACAGTATCTAGTGTGCAAAACTGTGGTAGCTGAATGTTCATTGTATATTTGTGTTGAAAAACAATTACATGCACCCCTCCCCCATAAATAACCCCTATACCTGTTATTATGACGCAATAGATATGGTACTTATACTTTTTAATTTAATTTCAATTAAATACTTGCTGTTTACCACCACCAGTGTCCTCAAATGAGTTATTTCCATTATTTATTGCAATGTACTGCAAAAATATAACTTGGTTACAATAGGAGGTCTTTGGAAAATATGTAAGAATACAGGACAAACATGATTTCATACTTTGGAAATTGATTAAACTGCATCTAAGCAGTTGAATATACTGTGTTTAATCAATGCTAAAAACAGACGGCATTCATTGTTCTGGAATCTCACACATTTGTCCTGATCACATAAGAACCGCAACAACAAAGCCCAGTATTAAGTCTCTGGTGAAAGCACAGAGGTGTTTGATGACTGGTTTCTATGGGAACACCGCTGAACGCTCGTTTGTCTGAGAAACGATCCTTTCTAGTGGAACGTGCATGCTTACATTTGGGTGTCCAGTAAACCACTATGCGTCTTGAGAAAGCAAGTGACACACAGTGTTGCAATCTGAGTGACATGCCAAAACCACACATCTGTTTGCCAGCACTTTATAATATCCTTTAATAATACAGAGCTAAAGAAAAACATGCTTAGGAGACAGAAATTACAAAATGATTTAAGTAAATATGAACTTTGGCCATTGTGATTGGCCGAACACCGCAAGCACTTACACTCCAAAGAGAAAGGAAAACTTGAAATCGCATCATATGACCCCTTTAATTAAGTCAGTATACATTGTGTGTCACCATTTCACCATATGGGAAAACATGCAGTGAGAGTAAATGGTGACTCAAGTTAAACAAAACGGAGACAAAAATATACAGGTTTGGAACGACATGAGGGTGAGTAAGTAAATAATGACACGTTTCATTTTTTGGTGAACGATAGCATGTAAGCTACAAGGAATGTCTTTCCAGAACTAAAAATGGTTTATATGACTTCGCAATATACCTACTAATAAACTCAGTTTATCATCATGATGACTTCACAAGAAGAAACATTCACGTTTGGACTGCCGAGAGAGTTTGAGGAGTGAAGTGCGCTGAGCTCCAGCCGCAGAGTGGAGCAGTGTTTTATGTTGAGTCACTGGGAGAGGGAGAGAGAGAGAGAGAGGTCTCTCACTTAACAAACAAATCAGCAGCAGATCTGCGGGCATACACAAACACACGCAGGTTCTGTCCTTCCACCTGCCGCGGGAGACACTTTGATGGTCGCAGTAGGTTAAATTAACCGGATTACCGAGACGGACGCGAACTCCGCTCGGCTTAATTTTAACGCGGACTTGCGACGATATCTATGCATTATTTAGACTGAAATAAGCAAAAAATGACAGAGCTGAGACGGCGAGGAGGAGGAGGAGGAGATCCTGACAGCACTGAAAACATCAGTGATAAGGTAATTTATAGAGCACGCGCTCATTCGGGAGGTTTATTTCTCTCAGTCGACTGCGAATGACCTTCTAGCTATGCAGCTAACGAGCAACCAGTCAGACCGCTTCAGCCTGAGAAGATATTACACAAAACAACTTGTTTACAACATTAGGATTGTATATGGCGCCTTTGTGTCCGGGGACTGTGCCTTTAATTGATCTAATCTGTAAACTGTCGGTTGCCTCATACGAAGTTGCTGAGCCAGACACACTGCAAAGCCAGAGTGTCAGTGGCTGTGTCGCAAAACCTATTGAGCTGCCTACATACAGCATTTTTGGTTGTCATAGACGCTTCTGGAACGTTCTATTTTGACCATCTCATATAGATAGTTTTTTTTCATGCCCAAAATGCTGTCTAGGTAGGCTATAACATTGGCAGCTCGTTATGGTTTGAGACTCGGTCCGCTGTCAGAGTCGAGTGGTGTGTGTCATACAGTTTATGTCATTTGAATTAGAGTTCAGAAACCAAGTATTTAAGGTAACAGTGCACCCAGAAATGAAAACTGACATCATTTTGTTGTTCCAAACCACATGTCCTCATGTTGTTCCAAACAAGGATTTTTTTTCTGCTGTGGAGCAGAAAGAAGTTGACAGTCTGGGTTTCCATTCATTTTCCATTTGCTTCTTTTTGTACATTGAAAGTGAATGGTGACTATCATCATTCTTTTTTATGGAAGAAAGTTGTGCAGGTTTGATAGGAGATGAGAGTGGGTCAATGATGACATTTAAAAAAAAATTTGTTTGGGGTGAATTATTGCTCTAAGGGCAGCCAAGTTATTGTAACATTTTCAAGATTCAGTCATATCAGAGAAATGTAACATTGTCCTCCTCTGTAAGAATTTTATTGTGGCAACCGTTTCAAATGATCAACATTTTTTTTATTGTGAAACATATTTGGTGACATTGAGCTTGTTGTGACATGACTAAAGCTCCAGAGTGTTTTTGCGGGATAGTAAACTCATTACGCACATCTTGAGCTGAAAAATCCATTTAGTTTTAGAAGTATATGTTTGTTATATTGGGAAATATTTATTTAAGAGCTGCAAGATCAGTTTTGGGGTCAGCTATTATTAGTAGCTTTTATTAGTTAAGAATTGATTGAAGGCAGGTGCTTTAGTTCAAATTGTGAAAGTGTTCAATGTCAATATTTTTTAAGTAATCAGTTTCTTTGTTTTTATGAATACCAGACACATGGGGTTATGTGCTTTGCTTTTAGAATACCTAACATATCCTAACAGAATCTGTTTACAAATCCTATTGCTGAAATGTTGCATCTGCTGAGCTGCACTGTGTATAAAGAGGTGTTAATATTTGTTATATAGTGTATGTATCTGTATCTGATTGAGTAGATCTTCCCTGGAAATGATGTGGTTTGGTTGATAGCTGAACGTTAGCATAGATCACATGTGACAACAAATCACTTGGCCACAGTGTGGAAAAACTGAAAAGGGAGTAACACAGCGGCCATCCTGGAAATGGATGAATTGAACTCATGACTCAGTAATTACAAAAGTTTTAGTCACAGACAAGGCTTTTGAAGTAGATCTCTGCATGAAGGCTGTCATGTCTTTACACTGTCTCCCCTGGAGAAGTTCCCTACAAGTAGCTGTGGGGAAATGAGGGAACCAGCACTTGTCTATTGATTGTAGTGACAGTAAGGCCAAAAGCATCTTTTGTCAAACCCAAAACTTTAGAAAAGCAAACCAAATTGGTGGCAAGATTTTAAGTAAAATAATAATTGTTTTAAAAATAATAATTAAATAATTGTAAGTAGGGCTGCACGATTATGGGAAAAATCATAATTGACGATTATTTCCTTAAAATTGTAATTGCGATTATTAATTACGATTATCACAATTTACATTGAATGATGTTTATACCATTGTTTGATGCAACTGCATGCCGTATTTTTATATCAAAATAAACAAGCTGAAAACACTAACTGAAAAACGTTTCTGAAAAACTCTTTTCTATAGTATTAAGCCTCAAATGTCAACTAAACATCGGATTGGTTTCTTCTTTAAATTATAAAAAAGTAAAAATATGAATGGTATTATAATGTTATACTAAAACTAAAACAATGGAAAAACCCTTAAGATAACATGTAGAAAGAAAAAAACATATCTTAAGCACTCAGAATAACATAAGTGGACTTGAACGATTAATTGCCGCTTTGAACGATTACGTAATTGTGGCATCCATAATTGTAATTGCGATTAGAAATTTGATTAATTGTGCAGCCCTAATTGTAAGTTCAAATTAAATAATTTAATATTTTAATAATTTCACATGTTAAAAAAGTGTGTATAATAAAATAAACGTATGAAATTATAAAAATATATAAAAAAAAACATTTTGTAATAATAATACGCTTTGTCTAGAAACAACAGTTTTATTTTCTTAAAATGTTGTGACTGGAGACTTCAGAATATTCAGTGTTGATTATGCAGAAATACTTTTGTTTATTCACAAATAGTTCTGCTAGGGTAACTGGTTTATCTTTTATTTGGAAACAAATGCTTCAAATTTAGTCAAAGAAACACAAAGGCTCTGAAAGAACATTGTGTTTTTGTCCTGGAGACGGCTGATCTTAAAAGACTAATGCCGATGTCTTGCGGGCAGAGCTTTGACTGTCCGTCTAGAGCCCCGAGCTCAGCCAGCTCTCTGAAGGTCAGTCTCTCGATCGTAACGAGCAGTATTTACAGCCCTGCACTCTCTCTGATGACTGAGGTTATCAGTCACAGAGCTCAGTCTCATGGTTTTCTGTTATTAACTTGTTTTTCTCATCTTCTCATTGAGAAGCCTCAGTCTCTCTGGGCTTTAGCAGGGTGCTCTGCTCAATGTAGCACCTCGCTCAGCAGTCTTTGGAGTTCAGTGGACCATCATAACCTCTGCGCAGCAAGTCCTGCAGCCTGGTCTCAGAGATGGATTCGCTCTCTTCCTGTGGTCATGGCCTACTTCTGCAATTTACCACAGAAAGCTGGTTACTCAGCACCTATTATAATCACAATTTGTGTGATTTATAATTACACAATTTGGTTTAAGCCTGGCAGCGCAGATGTGATCATATGTTATGTGATAGTGGACATTTTTCAGTTAGTTTAAATCATAGGTTTTCTTATGCTCTTTCCTCCTGACTAAAATACCGTTTACGTTTATACATTTGTCAGACAAGTTTATTCAAAGAGACTTAACTTTTGCAGTCAAGATTAATTTGCATTCCCTCAGAATTGAACCCATGACTTTTTGCTAGCACTGTGGTTAGTGCTTGTTTGGTACTAGACTAGCGGTGGACCAAACTTAACGTGTATTGCTTGCAGAGTTTTCACGATACTGGAATTTCTAACTTTAATACAATACCTTAAAAAATATTGATATTTGATACCTTTTTCTGATAACACAGAAACTAAAACAATTGAACAGTATCTAAGTAAAGAAAATACTGACATTATTAACTGAAAGTCCGCTGTCTGAGATTCCTCAAACCCAGTTGCTCTGAGAGAGATTCTATAATAATAAAAATAATAAGTTAATCCTTCAACCTTTAATTAAGAACTTTAAGTTTCTGTGACAACAGGTTTACAATTATCTGTCCACTAATTGTTGGAAATTATGTAAATTGTGAAAATGAAGTATAAGTGGCACACTGCATTCCCAAATGCACGTTAAACTCACAGCACATGGCAGAGATGCAGTTTGCTGCATTTACTGTGAACCGAGCTACTTTTGAGACACTGAAAACACAGAATCATAAGCTACATGCATGAACACAGTGACACGCTTTGCTCTGAAACATGCAGCACAACTGACTATATCTTTAGTAAATGAAAATACACAAAGCGAAGTGAAGAGAGAGAGCGAGAAAGCACTGCAACTGAAACCATTTCAAATATTCAGAATTAATATTATTAAAAAAAAAAAAATCTATATTTTTGACAACACTAATTGCTTGTTGACCAACTGATTTTGCTTATAAAAACTGTTGCACATAATTTCTGATGACACTTCCAAACAGATTTCCCAAAAACACCCCATCTTCCATATTTGGCCAAAACATGTAGTCCCACCAAAACTCAGAGAGTGATTTGATTGGATAACACATGGGCTGTGGTCATTGCTCAGGAGGACACCTCTCTCAGTGTAGTCTCTCTGGTAACGGGGACATTTAATGTGTTGTATCTTGCAGAACATACACTGGTGAGCAACTGTGCTGGTATTTTCAGTAGTGTTTTTCTCCCATAATGCAACAGTGGACTAATTAGCACAGAATACAGTACGCTACACTGCATTTGGAGTTCTGCTGCATCCACTCTCTTCCTTCCACCTTTGACATCAGCCGTGAGTGTGTCCATGTTGGTATTTGCTGCAACAGTAGGAATTCCTGATCAGCCCGTTTTTTTTGCCACCGCTGTAAAGGATTTAAAGGGACAGTGAAAACTGGGCCGAGCTGTCATCCCCAGGAAAAACTCCACAGAGGATAATCGTCCTTTACAGATGCTTTATTTTCACCCTTCAAGCACTTTAGAGAGGATTTAATAGGCTGCTGAAGTGATGATTTGGCAGGTTTTTTGACATTTCCACTGTTCATAGGTTATATGATCCTTGTCCATTCAGCACACCCTGTTACAGATACCAGCTCTGTAGGTAGAAACTGAATGAGAGATGCGGTGACTGCTGGCTGCAGTCATTCTGCCTTTGTGTGTTTGTGTTTTGGTGTGTGCTAGGCCTTTTGGGATAGATCTGGACTGGGGCTTTCCCCTCTTTCTCTCTCAGGGATTAGCGTAGTCTCATTTATGGAGCAGCTAATCAGCAGGCTAGTCTTCTTATCCATTCACTTCCAGGACTCTTATAGGCAGTAGGATACATGTGTGAAGCACACAGTTCTTAAAGGGGGGGTACAATGCTGTTTCATGCATTCAGAGTTGTTTACACTGTTAAAGAGTTGGATTCTCATGCTAAGCATGGACAAAGTTTCAAAAAACAATTTGGACGTATGACAGAGTATTTCTGTGCCAAAAATCGTACTTCCGGGTTCGTACAAGTTTCTGAGAGTTTTTTTCGATTGTGGCTCTTAATGACGTAAACGAGGGTGGAACTCCTTATATGGGCATTTCTCCCGGAAGAACGCGCCCACGCACACATCGACCAGAGCAAGAGCGAGATCGCGCCCATCAACGCGCTTCATCCGGCGGCAGCGCTGCACGGGACTTGCTCGGGAAGAATGTCTCCAATCCAAAGAAGTGTGTTTTTGGTTGTAAGGGAAAGATATCTTTGTTCAGCTTCCTAAAGAACCCAGCGTTATGTAAACAGTGGATACAGTTTTTTTTTCCAGAGCAGCAACGGAGTTTCACAAGTGTGTTTGTTGACGAACGTTTTATAAACAAGACCCAGTTCGATGCTGGATTTGCACATTGTTTGATACTGAAGGATGGAGCGGTCCCAGCTATAAAAGATCCCGGTCATGATTTAGAACTGCAGAAGGTAAGTGAAACGGCATCAAATGTCTGTTTTGTTGGCATTCGGCGCCCAAGTGCTCGTCACTCTTTAGCTCCGCCTACGGCACGCCTCCAGGAGCTCGGCTTTTTCCGGAGAGAATCGTAAAGCTGTATCTTTCTTTTATAAATATGATAAAACTAAAGCCTTTTTGGAGATATGAAGGATGCAGTACTACTCTATAGGTACTCAAGATTAACATGAGATTGGGTGAAACTGTGTGTGTTATGCCCCCTTTAAGAACACACAGAGCAATTTCTCTCTCTTCTAAAGGGCATGTCATGGATTTTTCTTGCTCTGTTGAAATAAAAGAAATTATTGTAGTGTTCAGACATACTCTAATGTTCACAACACAAAGCTTCCTCCCAAGGCCGTGTCAAACCTTTCCTGAAACTAAAATAAAAAAACAGATCATTGACAATTTTTTGCTGGCGTTCAATAATAGCGTATTAACGCCCACATTTGCATATCAATGCCTGTTAAGGAATGTAACAATAACAACAGAAATAAAATCAATAGTTGTTTGAAGTATTATGATTAATTTAATATTAATAAATATTTTGCACAATATAATAATAATAATAATTGGTTATTATTATAAAACCATGCACTTTAAATTTTTATTTTGTATTGTAATGTAGTTAGTTATTATCATGTCAAACAGCATAAACAATAAATAAAATCAGATACTTAAACATAAGAAATAATCTGTATTGGTAAACAAAAAAAAGACTTGTTTGATCTTAAAAAAACAGTAAGTGATCTGATGCAAGAAACCTTGACTAACATTAAAAGTGTACATCAGGGAACAAAAAACACTGTGAAAGTAAAATAGCCTGTTTGAATTGGTTGATTGACTATTAGAGAGCTGTAGTGTCCTATTGACTGTTGCCTGCCATTTAAATAGTGGAAATATATCAGCATGCATTCATAAACGCTGATTCTTTTTCTTGAATGGACTGCAGAATGCTACTAGGCTGCCATTTAGTGAAACCCTCAGGCTAAAAATCGGTCCACTCATCTGTAGCGTTAGGAAACTCTCATCTGATCTCTTCTCATCTGTCTATTGTGCTGGAAGAGTATGAAGGGGATAATGTTGCAGTTTGTTTGTTGCCTTCAGTTTCCTTTTCAAAAACAACCATTTCATTTTCACACTGCACAAAATGTAGTTGGACTACACTGATGTAGCTGATAGCTGGAATGGGCGTTGCTCAGATCTGTACATTTCCATTAATGTTTTCTGGGGGCTTGACTGAGTGTGTCCTCATTAAAAAGTTAGCTGAGGGTTTCTTTTACCAGCCTTAATCTGAGCCGTGTTTCAGACATGAGTGACCTCCCTGCTCAGTGCAGCTTGCTCCCAATTACCTCAGCACAGCTTCTTACAGTCATGGTCCACTGGCTAATTTTGGAAATTGTACAATGTCGTCTTGTTCTTACATTGCCAAATTTAGTTGTCAGTAAGGAGTTTGACTGAAACACCATAAAATACAGAAAATCTGCGAATAATGAAGCCAACATAGTCTCACAGGAGCCAGACTTTTGCCTGGCATAAAGTCTGAAGCACATTATAGCCATGAACCACCTACTTAGACTGGACAACAGTGTGTCTTTTATGACTTTTGTGACCTTTAGGATTTGTTTCTGAAATTCATATTTATGCATTTGGCAGACACTTCAAACCAAAGCAACTTACAGTACATTTAAGATGGAGTGGTGGAATAACCTTTATGTTATATTATAAGAGTTACATACTGATAATGTTATTTATTTAGTGAGAGTTATTTATTTAGGCCGTAGAGGAACATTATGGCTCTGCAGTATTACATATTAGCTTATCAGGGTGTAGCTTGTTAGCTATGGCCCTTTTTACATGTGGGTGCTGTAAAACAAGTTGCTGTTGGGATTTTCTTTTATCTTTAGCTTGCAATATTTTGTTTTTCAGTCTGAAAGGCAGATCAGCTACTTTTTAAACTGCTCAGTGATCATTTAAACCCAGATTGCAGATTTATTGCAGATTATGAGACATTTACACATCAGGCTTTCCAGGATGTGGGCTGCTGCTGAAAAACCTGCACATGTAGAGGCTTACAAACTAGCAATGACCGATCCTTGTTAGCCAGTAATATTTTCCCACAGTGATGTTATCAGTGAACATTAGGGCTCAGTATTGACTAGGGTTGGGTATCGTTTGGGTTTGTTTCGATACCGGTGCCAAATCGATACTTTTAAAACGGTTCCGGTGCCTAAACGGTGCCTGAACCGATGCTTATTAAAGAACAGAGAAAGAATACAGAATGCTAGTGTTAGAGGCTCTTTTTTCTTTATAAATAAAACAAGTAGTTAGAATAGAAATAGAATAGAGAGTGCAAATGTTAGAGGATCAAGTTTTTAATAAAAAAAAAAACAAGCAGATAAAATTAGATGTAGCATTAGAATAGAAAGGTTATAATGTTCTCTTTTGTTGGACAACAGGTTTAGAAATGTGAATACAAGGGAGGTTTAGCTTTAGACAATTTAATTTAAGCATGTTTAGCTTAGTTAACGGAAGGCTACATGCTGCCATCAGAGCAAGTGTAATTACTGCATTCACGCGCTCCTCTGATGCTCTCATTTCCCAAGTTGTGCTTTTAAGTCGGAATGTGAAAACAAGACGGACACTCGTGTTACTACAAAGATGTGTTGGATTTGTATTATTAGATTACATAGGTACCGGTGCCATATTGGTACCGGGTTTCGGTACCCAACCCTAGTATTGACACAGATTTCACTAATCGATTTGATTTGATTCGATTCACAAGCTCTTAATTCGATTCAGTTTTGTTCTTGATTGCACGCTGTATTGATTCATTTGGATATCTATCCAGTACAGTACATGTACATTTTTCTTCTCTGTCAACCAATGCTGTAAACTGGTGCTTGAAACACTGTTAGAGCGATTACATGAGACATGATACATTTCAGTAAGTAACTCCTGAGCCCTTGAGGACATGTTGATTTATTTATCAAATTATAAGCACAAGCTGTGATGATGACACAGGTCCAACTTTTCCTCTTTTAGTGCATTCCTCTTCACCTCATCTATTAGTTTCCTCTGCTACTGTTACCAGCCATATTTGATTCTGTTCTTTGGCCCATAGTTGTGTTGTGCTGGCCAAGACAACAGTAGAAGATGAGAAACCAACCTCTCTTCACCTTGCGTCGAGCAGACGGGTATCTTCAGTCTACTGTACCGCACCTACTCGAGGCTTTTGTCTAGCATTTGCATAAGTTATGCTGGCTAATATCCTGTCCACCTTCGCTCTCTATTACTTTGACTGGTAAATCTGTGATTTCCATGGAGGGCTGCATTCCATGGTGATTGCAAAAGACTACTGAATTATGAAATTGTGAATTGTGCGTTTTGTTTTACGTCTCCAATCCAAGTGTCTTGTGGTTCTCTTACCTAATTCATTGTTTTTGGAAGTGTTTCTTGAAAGGTGTTTACGCAACAGTTCTTAAAAAAACAACATAAGATGCAACCAAAGACTATTTAATACTCTTCATTATTATTATTACATTGCTATGAATGGGAGCTGCAACATGCAGTGTGCTGTAGGGATAACATGTTTTTGTAGGCAAAAACCTGGAAATGCACTTTAGCACCATTTCTACACAGTAAAATTATGAGTGTTAGTTCAACTCTAACAGAGTTAAAATCAACTCTGAAAAAGTGTACATATTGTCCCAATCTTTTCAGAGTTACATTAACACTCTTCAAAGAGTTACTTGTTTAACACTATGAATGAGTTATATGTACACGGTATAGAGTTAAAAAACAACTCTGGTCCACACCACAGAGAGTTGATTTTTCCTTAACACCAGTGTAAAGAGTTACAATTTAACGATTCAGTATCACTAAAATTGAGTTAAATTTAAAAATTACTTTATATTATTTAATAAAATAATAAATAATAATTACAAAGCATTTTCGGTTTCGGTTTTCGGCCAAGTGCATCCAGAATTTTCGGTTTTGGCCCAGAATTTTCATTTTCGGTGCATCCCTAATGAAATTGTTTGTGTTGTATGTCTGTGTTGTTAAGTGTATATAATTATCTGCCTTGAAATCAGTACATTAATTATCTCGTTTTTTTTCCCTCACTGTGTGCGTTTACACTCTGCAGGAGGCAGATGGAGATGACAGGCTTGCTTTTCCCGGTGAAGGGGAAGGAGAAATGGAGGGCGACTCCAAAGCGGACACACCAGACGTGCCACCTTCCAATGATAACACTCCACAGTGTCTCAACAAAGCCCTGGAGGGCTTGTCATCTAGGTACCCAATGGCACTGAGCTCATGTTCAACTCCCCAAACAATCTATGTCGGCATTATATGCCTGTCCGGATGTTTAGGCCCCAGTTCAATGCACATGGGCAACTATGAGTCTGAGGTTTCACAAACAGGCTTAACCTGTTTTCACTGGGAAAATAGGAAACCCGTACACTAATATTCTCTAAAAAAAAAAAAATTTCCACACATGAAGGATTTTTTAGTTAAATCAGTGCCATGTAAAAATTGCTCCGGTTAATCTTTGAAAGCTGACACATAACCTCATAGCACAGCGTATTGCACAGGTATTCACTTTTAATTTTGATCAATAAGACAGACTCTAGTGATATTTGATATGCAGATGAGGTGAGGGGTCGGTTGACAGGGTAATGGGCCCTCGAAGAGATTAAATGGGATCTTTATTAGAAACAATCCTAATCCTTGTCAGTTTTGCTGTTCTGTTGGTGGGATTTGCTGCAGCTTCTTTAAAAAAAACGCAGAGGCGCAGGTCCAACACATGCCTGAATGCCGGCGCCTGGCTACCCACCACACTTTGTGATGATGTTGCACTTTTTTTTCCTCTCCCTCCCCTTTCTCTTTCTATCCATTGACAAATTCCCTCCCATTCTTTTCAGTGGCTTGCATGAGTTGTGGCACCTGCAAATAGTTTATTACACTCTGTGCCAGAAAACTAAGTATTCACATCTCTCATGGAGCCCCATTTATTACATTTATGGCACCATCAGCATAAATCTATCCCATCCGTTTTGTTCTCACTAATTGAAGCTTAAATCAAACTGAAATCATTATCATTGTTTTGTTATACAGTACAGGTGCATCTCAATAAATTAGAATGTCGTGGAAAACTTCATTTATTTCAGTAATTCAACTCAAATTGTGAAACTCGTGTATTAAATAAATTCAGTGCACACAGACTGAAGTAGTTTAAGTCTTTGGTTCTTTTAATTGTGATGATTTTGGCTCACATTTAACAAAAACCCACCAATTCACTATCTCAACAAATTAGAATACTTCATAAGACCAATAAAAAAAACATTTTTAGTGAATTGTTGGCCTTCTGGAAAGTATGTTCATTTACTGTACATGTACTCAATACTTGGTAGGGGCTCCTTTTGCTTTAATTACTGCCTCAATTCGGCGTGGCATGGAGGTGATCAGTTTGTGGCACTGCTGAGGTGGTATGCAGCCAGCTTCTTTGGCAATGAATGTTTGTGGCTTACCCTCCTTGTGAAGGGTGTCAATGATTGTCTTCTGGACAACTGTCAGATCAGCAGTCTTCCCCATGATTGTGTAGCCTAGTGAACCAAACTGAGAGACCATTTTGAAGGCTCAGGAAACCTTTGCAGGTGTTTTGAATTGATTAGCTGATTGGCATGTCACCATATTCTAATTTGTTGAGATAGTGAATTGGTGGGTTTTTGTTAAATGTGAGCCAAAATCATCACAATTAAAAGAACCAAAGACTTAAACTACTTCAGTCTGTGTGCATTGAATTTATTTAATACACGAGTTTCACAATTTGAGTTGAATTACTGAAATAAATGAACTTTTCCACAACATTCTAATTTATTGAGATGCACCTGTAGATCATTCTGCTCATGCCATTTCATTCAGTTAAACACACCCACATTTCAATAGTGGGGAAATCACTGGGTCATCAGTTAAACCTTTGACCCAGCTTCATTTCCACCTCTTTCACAGGCTTTTAGTTCATTTCAAAGTAAACACAAAGGGAAAATGTCATTTATACCCTTAATAGTGGGAGTGGGGATTTTCCAGCCCATATAAATGTATTTTGTTATACAAACTGTTTAACTGTCCTGACAGGTTTCTTACAAAACTGTAGTTTTCTTGGTTTCTGCATTCAAATTGATTTAAAAAATAAATAAAAAATCTCAACAGGTGGAAAAACTGGTGGATAAGAGGCATATTGTCATTGACAATGATCATTGGCTTCTTCCTCATCATCTATTTGGGACCCATTATGCTTATATTAGTGGTAAGTATGAGTACAAACCATATATGTACCATGCAAACACTATTAACTAAACAAACACACTGACCACTGGCTAGCCAACATTTGTGGTTACTCTAGAAAGCATTGACAAAACATCCCAGCTGTCCTCCTACAAACCCTTTTGGCCACGTGCCGTCATTTAGTTAATTTGTAACCCTACCTGACTTGACATAATGTAAATATTTTCAATGAAAGATTGATATGAATCACCACAGTGTTTTAAATAGATGTTTGATTTTTGTAGGTATCAGAAATTTAAAAAATGCTATTTGAACGTGTTCAGCTTTTAGAACATTTATTAACTTTTTTTATAATTCTTTTATAGGTTATGGGTGTTCAAATAAAGTGTTTTCATGAAATTATAACCATTGGCTACAGAGTTTACCATTCCTATGATCTGCCGTGGTTTAGGACTCTTAGCTGGTAAGTAAAATGCTGACTAGTTACCGTTAAATGCTTTCCTTTCACCCCTTAACTCTCCCTATCTCTCCACCCTTCCCCCTTCTTTCTGATTCATGTGTTTTACATTCATGTACGCACACTGAACTACAAACAAACACACCCCCACTCTCTCACGTTTTACCAGTCACTTTTTTATCATGGATGAAGTAGTGATTAACTGGACTTGAGCAAAGTGCACGTCCATGTTGGAACCTAGCATAAAGTACTCCCCACCTGCAGGCTTTGTCCAAACAAAACAAGATGACAGCCAAGCAGCTGAAAGGGGCCATGTATTGTTTCCATCAAATACGCTTCTTTCACTCAAATAATCAGATCTTGACACAAATGCACCTTGTATTTCAGGTACTTCTTGATTTGTGTGAACTACTTCTTTTATGGAGAGACAGTGGCTGATTATTTCGGTGCACTCGTCCAAAGGGAGGAACCTCTGCAGTTTCTTGTGCGTTATCATCGGTTTATTTCTTTTGCACTGTATTTGGCAGGTGAGTGTAACTGACAGCTCGCATTAGACTCTCCACAGAGACTTATCAGAGACTTTTATGACTCTAGGTCAAAAGCCCACAGTGCACATTTAGCTTTTTTTGCGTAGTTTATAAATTGTTTATAGATTATATATATATTGAATGGTATTCAAAACATTAAATGACTTCATGAAAGTTGATTGTATGCTTGGTCACTTTGCCATATTTAATATATGCTTTTATGCTTTGATTAATATAAATATGCTGTTGCGCTATGCCAACAAGCTCTTCACCTGCAGCTACACTACTGTTCAAAAGTTGTATATTAGCAAGCATGCATAAATTAATCAAAAGTGACAGTAAATATATTTTATAATGTTACAAATAATTTCTATTTCAAATAAATATTGTTCTTTTGAACTTTCTTTTCATCAATCCTGAAAAAAAAAAATGTCCCAAGGTTTCCAAAAAGTGTGAAGCTACACAACCATTTTCAACTGTAGTAATTCTAAGAAATGTATCTTGAGCACCAAAACAGCATATTAAAAGGATTTCTGAAGGATCGTGTGACACTTAAAACCTGAGTAATGGCTGCTGAAAATACAGCTTAGCTATTTTCAATTAAAATATATTTTGGCAGTTTTCATTGTAATTATATTCCACAATATTACCGATTTACTGTATATTTAATCCAATAAATGCAGCATTGGTGATCATAAGGAACTTCATTCAAAAACATTCAAAAATCTTACCAACTCCAAACTTTTGAGTTTCACAATTTGAGTTGAATTACTGAAATAAATGAACTTTTCCACGACATTCTAATTTATTGAGATGCACCTGTATATAGCACAACATTGAGTGTTGTGTAGCTAACGGTTTAGAGTGTTAAGTTCGGACCAGCTCAGGGCCATGACAAAGACACTACTGCAAAAGTATATATGTACAGTAGATGTGTGTTCATACTTAGGATCAAAGACGCATGAACCTCTTCCTCTGTTACGGCCATAAAAGCACAGCTGTCGCAGGTCTCCCCCTCTGCAGTCATTTCTTCTCACTAAACTTGGCTCTCTCTCTAGCAAAGCTTAATGGTCATCATCATAGAGAATATATAAACCAGAATATACAGTATAAGATATATTCCAGTGTGTTTGTTCTAAAAATGTGTTAATGTACAAAAACAAAATATCCCATAATGCTGTGTGCTGCTGTTATAAGTGATATGGAAGCTTTCCAAAACAAAAACGGACAAAAAATGCTTCTCTGCTGTGTCTCAGATCCATTTCTTTACATGGAATACAAAATGATACCGTAAACAGTGATAAGATTTATAATTTCTCCTGTTATGTAGGAAATTAACTGCATGTTATTTGCTTTTTCCAGGTTTCTGCATGTTTGTACTGAGTTTAGTGAAGAAACATTACCGCCTGCAGTTTTATATGGTGTGTATCAGTCATTTATATGCCAGCCAGAACTAAACTGTTCATTTCATTCACAGTCATGTGTGCATCATGTGTTGGGCCTTTGGATACTCAGTAGTCCCATGTCATAATATGTCATATTATCACATTTCATGAGTTTACGTTACATACACTGAGCATTGTGAAAGTATTAAATGTTTAAATGAGTCATTGCATGGCATTTATTTTTAGTGTATGCAAGGCAGCACTTTTATTACTTTTATTACGGTCCAGAAATGCGGGATTCATGGCCTTTTAGCATACAGACTTCATTTAGATTTTGCAATGTAAGTGATTTTAGTATTAGGTGTCCATTTTTTAAATGAACTACACACAATAATAATGTTCGAGATTTTTCCCTTTTTTTTTTTTTTTAATAACATATCGTAATAACGCAATAATAACGTATTGTGACCATGATGATATTTGTAAGGTGCTTTTTAAGGTCATTATCTTTCAGAAAAGAGTGGCCAGCATATTCTTCAAAAACTCTTCAAGAAGGATATTTTGTTACATGGAAGAAAGGATAGTGAGTACCTTTTTTTTTTTTTTTTTTAAAGTCTCTTATGCTCACCAAAGCTGCATTAATTTGATCAGACCTACAGTAAAAACAGTAATATTGTGAAATGTTATTACAATTTAAAATAACTGTTTTCTATTGTAATATATTTTAAAATGTAATTAATTCCTGTAATGGCAAAGCTGAATTTTCAGCAGCCGTTACTGAAAACAGTTGTAAGTAACTGCTAAATATTTTTGAGGAAACTGATACTTTTTTTTTTTTTCCAAAAGAACAGCATTTACAGTATCTTGTGATGATGCCCTTGCAACATTTGGATACTGAATTGGTCTCCTTTCTTGCAATTATTAGCATAATGAAATGTTATTGATGTTTTCATTGCACTCTAAAGATAGTGGCTCATAAACCTGACACAGTGACTACGTTTACATGGACAACAATACTCCGATTTTAATACGATTAAGACAATTCTCTGATTAAGAATCTACCATGTAAACAGAGATTCTTGACTACCTTAATCTGGCTAAAGTAATAATCGAAATAAACACTATTCGAATTAAGACATGTGGAGTATTCCTATTTTAGTCGCATTACTGAAGTGCAGAATAGACATGTAAACACCTTAATCACATTATTACCATCGTGTAGGACGTTTCGTTGCATTTTGCGACAGGATACACACATGGCAGTGCTCAACCGTTTGACGGCAAACAAAAAAACGGCTTCAACAACGCCGTCGTCTGTTTGCATGTATAGCATGACAAATAATTAACTGCACTTGAAGCTTTCAGTAAATTAAAAATGAAACACCCAAAACTGTATATGGCATCATAACGAAGACGAACTATATGTTTATAAGTGAAATTCTGGAGGGGACTTCGGATGGCATCGCGTGGGTATGTAATGGCGTGTGTCATTAATCGATCCATGTACTATAACATGTAAATCGGGAACATGAAAGGAATATTCTAAAAGCAACTCATGTAAACACCATAATCATAATATTGTCTTATTTAGAATAAGGTAAATAATTAGATTACTGATGTCCATGTAAACGTAGT